ACTTATTATTTATACTAAAATAATAGAACAGTACAAAGACGACTATGCCCTTATAGGGCGGCAAAACATAAAGCAGCATATATAACACTCAAAAACATAATAAAATTTGGACTCGCATAACTACTGTGGTCCCCACCTCCTATCTAACAACTAACATAAAACATCTACTCAGAAAAACATCATAAAACTAATTAATCTTCAACAAAAATAATATAATATAATATATATATATATAGGTGAGCGCCTGATACAAAAGCACCTTGTCATTGGGTGAGGCGACTTCTAAAATCGCCTAGTCGCCTAGTCGCCTAGGCCCACTCTTGGGTTCTTTCACCCTTCCATTTATGTAATTGGCTTTTCCCCTTACTGTTACATACAGTTCTACACACTTGGCCCACTCCAGGTAGTTTAGGCCATTTAAAGAGTTAATTGGCATAGGAAACATCATGGTTTCACCTTCCATACCAGTTGATCCATGGGTTGATGTAACCCTGGATGAGGCAGAGTCATCATTTGCCATTGAGAGCAACACAAACTACAAGTCAAGAAACTGATTTACAGATGCACACGACCAGTCCCCACTGAACTAGTACCTTTCACAGTCTCAGTCCGGGCACTAAACACCAAACCAAACACCATGAAATGCACAGTAGCAACTAAACAGTCCAGGAACAATCAAATAGTTCAGAAAGAAATAATAAAATACTGCTGAAACTCACTGACAGCAACCAAACAATCTAGATATTTAAATCTCAGTCCTCATTGGGCTACCCACTACACATACCAACACACCACAGCACATACCTGTGACAAAGAGGATCATACAACCCTGTACAGCACCTGTTCAAAGGTGCGAATCCAAAGAAAAAAGCCTTCACAGTATCGGCCAAAGAGAGAACAGGGTCTTCACAGCATCGGTTCTCTCTTACTAGGGTTACCTTGGTGCTACAACCAAGGAAGAGCCCAGAAGAAACAGGCAGTGTTTTAAAAGGCGTGGGCACCTCCAGGTGAGGCACTCCCAAAACGCCCTGAGGCATATACCAGAGGCGCTGACACCTCTGAGGCATACGACTCAGGTGCAAGAGGTGTACGCCTCTTGCGCTTTTTTCATGAGGCGTGCTAGAGGCGTATGCCTCAAGCGCCTCATGCACATCTGATATATAAAGACAGAAAAAAAAGAAAAAAGAAAAAAAAAGGGAAGGAAATAAAGGGAAGGGAAAGAAAAAGAAAGAGAAGAAAGAAAAAAGAAAAGGAAAGAAAATAAAAGGAAAGGGAAGGGAAGAAAGGATAAGGGGAAAGAAAGTGGTTTGCCCCCTGTCCCTTCGGCTGGGGGGCTTCGCTCCCCAGACCCCCCCTCTCCAGCGAGCTCGCTTTGCTCGCTCACCTCCACTTCGACAAGACCCCCCCTCCCCCTTTCAACTAATGTTATGCATCTTTTTTCTTCTTAATATAAAAGATTTTTATTAAAAATAAAGAAAAAATGAAATCCCCCATTCCTCTTCATCCTCCTCCTAACCCCCTCCTCTTAAGGAGCCTTACACCTCCTTGTGTTTGGGAGGCTTATGCCTCTTGCGTTCTGAACTATGCCTGATGTCTCTAGGTAGTGGAACACCTCGCATCACGCCTCCGCGTTTTAAAACATTGGAAACAGGAATAGGTTGTTCTACACAGTCCAGTTAGGGTTTCTTGCCTTCACTGTCCAAGAAATCAGAAAACTGGGTGGATGAATGTGATTCTGAAGAGAACAAAGGACTCCTATCGCCCAGAATCTTTCTCTGATACCATATTTTCTTTCTTGGAGAAAGAGAAAAGAGAGAGGAGAGGAGAGAAGAGAAGAGAGAGAGGGAAAATAGTTTGGGAGTCAAAAAGTATTGCTGGTGGCGCCCAGCTTCTTATTTATAATGATATAACAAAATAATAAATGGGAGATTACATTTGTACCCCTGGGCGGCACACCCTAATAATAAACTAATTAAAAGAAGAAAAGAACAAGCTGACAGCACACTAACAGCAAAGATAAAATAATAACATTAACAACACATTTACATTTTACCTCCTTCGGCATTACAAATTTGAATTTGTGGGCCCACTTTGCATCGCTTTAAGATGTAAATTTTGCAACCAAAAACTTAATACAAACTTTACATCAAAATAGGGGAGTAAAAATAGGGCAAGTGATTGCATCTCCTTCCCCCTTCGTTCTCCAGAGAACAAACGAACTCTGGAACTTGCAATGGTGCATCATGGCTAGCGATCAAGCATAGATGATTAGGCTTTATTTCTGGTTCTCATCATTTTTCTCCTTGGATTTTTTACTGATTTGTGTGTTGTTGATTGAATTTTGTGGAATTCTTATTTTGGATCCTGCTTATTTGTATCAATAAGGGAGCACAAAATGCCACGTCCTTAGTTCAATGTATCTGTTTTCTGTTTTCTCAGAGACGAGGTTTTGAGTCATTGTTTTGTATCTGTTTTCTGATGCTGTGTTTTCCAGGTTTGGAGTACTGGGTTTGTTTCTATTTTCTTTTGCTTTGTTAATGAAATATTTTTCTAAACAGAAAAAAAAACTCAAAGATTAATATAGGACGGCTAATCTAGTAACTACCAGGAAGTGCTAAAAACCAGTGCACAGAAGGTTTGATTTTGGGAGATTAATATAGGACAGCTAATAAATATGGAAAACACTGTTCTGCAGGTTAGAGAGGTGAAAATTCAAAAGAAGTATTCATGGCAGATGAGGTCACCAAAAGATGGGTATTTGAGTTGGTATCTTCAAGCCTGAATCAGGTAATCCCATAATCTGGAAAAGGAAATTCTTATTGGTATGCAAATCTGTTATGTTTGTGCCTTGAATTCTTTGTGGCGACCCGCTTCATGAATCCGCTCCGAATTAATTTGAGAAAAACCTGAAGGCAAAATTTCATAGTGGTTTGTGGTGGATGCGTACCCAAGCCCGTCGCCCACCACAAATCACCATTGGGGGTGCGGGGGCTGCACCCCCCGCGGCGGTATGGACCTGACCTATATTCATCTTATAGGTCCGAACCGAATACAAAGAGTCATGTATTTTTTGGGGGGTTTTCTCTCTTGTATACAGAAGGCGGAATCTTGGGAGATATTGGATGTATTTTGGGGCTTAGGGTTTTCTGTGAGAGCACAAATCTGTATTTCTTCTCCATTACCTACTACATAGTGGATTTCTGTTCCTCCTTCGCCCGTGGATGTAGGCTATAAGTCGAACCACGTAGATCTGTGTGTTCTCTGTGCTTGCTTTCTCTTTATCTCTATTTTATTTTCATTTGAGTGCCATTTCGAATCTGTTTTCTTGGGTTTCTCTGCAACAAAATCATATTTTCTTCCTGAACTACCTAAACAGTAAACCAAATAGTTAGGTTCATAAAAGAGGTCTATGTTACCCAGGTACAGACAAGGACATAATGGGTACCAGATATATACAAGTATCATAGTTATTTGTTGATTCATGCAGTAAAACCTTCCTAGGCAATGCCTATTATCTGGAAGAGTAATCAGCACACTCCCTGCATACATGAAGCACCAAATAAAATACACTTGACCTAGACCTCTTTTTCCATTATTCAAAATGGTCATAAAGTTTTTTGCTATCTATTACTCAAAGTGAAGTGAAGCATGAAATTCCTTCAATCTAACCCATGTTCTGTTAAACGGATCAAGAACTGGAAAGCATGAATATGTAGAACCATGGATGGCAAGTAAGCACTTACATGGATAAGAAGCACTGGTTTCTTCACCTTTGAATTTGTTGAACTTCTGCATTGTTTAAGTATAATTAGTAGGCTTTATGTGGCAATAAAAAGAGCATAAAACTCTTTGAAGTGCAAATATGAGGTACCGACTAGGTGAACAGTGAATGGACATGAGGTCTACTAGTAGGATGATGCTATAACAGGTTGAACCGTTTGGATAACCAAGATCATATCCTTACAGGAGCCTTTTCAAATGATATAGAGAGGTCCATTGATGCGGTGACATAGCATATGGCAATGGATAATGGTAACTTATAAGAACTGCTCCATCACCTTATTCTTAATAACCAAATAATGGAATTATCTGTCTAGTATATTCTCTTGGCATCTTAGAGGAGTTGGCCTCATCAAAAACATCATCAAGAAAAGTTATGATAAAGGAATCCCATTTGACACTCTGATGGCCATCTTCTTGTTAGAATATCTTTTCTGAGCCAGAGTATCAAATCCCATTACGTGCTGCCTGAGTGCATTGTATATTGATATCTTGATCAGCCAAGAATCTTTACCTCACAGGTACTCTAGGTTTACCATCTTTAAATTGCAGTGGCCAAGATAGTCTACTCACCTTGTAAATGTCAAAGTAGCATCTGAAATTCGCATGACACAGCACATGGAATCCAGAAAGTATAGCACTATGCAACTTCTCATCCTTGGTAGTTGAACTGCCACGTGCAATGTTGGCCCTCTTCCAACTGATTGTCCATATGGAATCAAGTATTGTTGGCTTATTCCATACTTGATCTGGAGAAACTCATATGCTGCCTCCATGTCTTTTTAAGTGTCTGCTTCACTTGGATGAATTATATAAACAATACACGGTATTGAGTACATTCAATTTACAAGATATGGAGCACTGTTCTAACTGATAATGAAGGCTGAACAGCATGAGTATGGCCATCCATAACTATAAACACAGAAATTAGATCAGCAAGGATGCCCAATTAGTTGTCCTACCTAACACTTGAAGGAAAAAATTCTGTTAGTTCACATTAGATAACTAAATAGTTGTAGATTAACTAGAGATAGAACTTTATTATTGTTAAGATATATAGCTTTAAGAATCTTGTATTTTTGATCATCATCATCCAAGCCTTATCCCAACTATCTGGTGTTGGCTACATGATTCCTGTTTCGTCACTCCGTTCTATTTAATGCGATATCCATTGTTAGATTATTAGCACTTAAAAAATCATTTTTTACTACTTTGTTCATTGTCCTTTTTGGTCTATCCTTACCCCTTCTAGGCCCTTCAACTTGCAATAGACCTCTTCTTCTTATGGGTGCTATCACCCTTTCTAGTTTTTTCCACCAATCCATCTCAGCATACACATTTTTGCCACACTCATTTTTTGGACATGTTTATTGACTGCCCAACATTATGCTCCATACAACATAATTGGACTTACAATTGTTTTATATAATTTTTCTTTTAATCTAAGTGGTATTCGCCTAGCACATAAGATTTTGGATTCACCTCTCCATTTTGCTCATCCTGCTTTGATTGTTTGGATGACATCCTCCTCAATCTCTTCCTTGTTATATAGTATTGAACCAATGTACTAGAAAAGGTCAAATTGAGTTATTTCTTGACCTCATCTAAGTGGTATTCGCCTAGCACATAAGATTTTGGATTCACCTCTCCATTTTGCTCATCCTGCTTTGATTGTTTGGATGACATCCTCCTCAATCTCTTCCTTGTTATATAGTATTGAACCAATGTACTAGAAAAGGTCAAATTGAGTTATTTCTTGACCTCTAATCCTAAATGTACTATGATTTGCACTCTTATTATCATTAAATTTATATATCGTATATTCTATTTTAGTCCTACTTATTTTAAAACCTCTTGTTTTTAAGGTATTTGTCCATAAACTTAATTTTGCATTTAATCTTTCATTAGTTTCATCAATTAAAACAATGTTGTCAACAAACAACGTGCACCATGGGATCTAATCTTGAATATGTTTAGTCAATTTATCTATGATTAGTGCAAATAAATAAGGGCTAAGTGCTGAACCTTGGTGAAGATCAATCAGCAGTGTAAAATTTGATGTCTCTCCCATAGGTATCTAACATTGGTTGTTGCACCCTTATACATATCCTTAATTAGGCCTATATGCCTATTTGGAACTCCTTTCCTTTCCAAGATCCACCATATTATCTCTCTGGAGACTCTCTTATATGCATTCTCTAAATTAATGAAAATCATATGAAGATCCCTTCTCTTCTATTTAAACTTCTATTAATTGTCTTAGAAGAAAGATAGCTTCTATGGTTGATATCCATAGCACAAATCTAAATTAGTTCTCTAATATACTTGTTTCTTGTTGTACCTTTGTTTAATTATTCTCTCCTAAAATTTCAAAATGTGACTCATGAGTTTAATCCCCTGATAGTTATTACAATTTTGTATATCACCTTTGTTCTTAAGTATAGGCATCATATTGCTCTTTCTCCATTCATCAGACATTTTTTTTTTCTTTCATTATCTTATTAAAATAGCCTAGTTAGCCACAACAAGCCTACCTCTCCATACCTTTCCTTTCCACATTTCTATTGGAATGCTATTGGGTCCTAACACTTTTTACTTCATCTTATTTGGTGCTTCTTTCACTTCAGTAATTCTAATATGAAGGTACATGTTATTTTAATACTACTTATATACTAAATTACTAATCTATCCTCCATTAGTACTCTCTATATGTTGTTCATTTAATATATTTGCAAAATGGTTTTTCTATGTTACCTTGATTTTCTCATCTTTTACCAATATTCTTTTGTCTTCTTCTTCAATGCACCTAACATGGTTTGAATCTGTACCCTTGCTTTCTCTCATTTTTGCAAGTTTATAAATTCCTTTTTCTCCATCTTTGGTACCTGATTTATGACAGAGGTCATCATATTGCCTTAAATTTAACTTCACTTACTATCTTTTTAACTTCGTTTCTTATGGTTTTACATTTCTCTAAGTTTTCTCTATTGTTAGTCTTTTGCCAATCTTTGTAAGATGCTTGTTTCAATTTGATGATTGTGAAAAATAATAATAATAATCTAGGTGGGGTTTAGAAGATGATAATAACATGTAGTTTAGTCTTTCAACTCTAAACCAATTTTTCAAGAGCTTTGGGACTGCTATGGATGAAAATGAGTGCAAGCAGCAATTCTTGTTGAGTTTTCCCCCCTCCTCCCAAAAAGGGGAAGAAGAAACATCATTATGTTAAACATTACATATTGAGATGCACTTTTCTTGTTGTCTTTACTCTCACTATGGTGAGGAAATTTTGCCTTGGTGTTTTTGCTTTTATCCGCAGCATTTTGTTAGAAAATATTGGTTAATCTCAAAGCCATGCCTTCCACCATATGGCTAGCGGTGATGGTGGACTTCCTTCAGCTGTTGACAAAGGTGTTCTAAATTTTAGACTTTTTATCTCATAATGTTCAAGATTTAGTACTTGCTTGCTGTCCAACAACATACTAAATTTTATATAGACCTTTCTATATTTAGCATAGCTTTTTTCCAATTCTCAACCATTTGGGCTGTATTTGCCTTCTCTATATAACTTATGATTTTTCGAATTTTAGTTTATTCATTTGGTAGTTGTTTTTAGCGTACTTTATTAGTTGTTTGTGTAAATTGCATTAGCCCATTTAAAAGCCTCACCTTTTTTTTTGTCATGCAACACCTGTCACTTAAATATATTTTTCTAACTTTTTCTAGTCATATCACACCTATCACATTAACGGTGATAGCTAGAAGCAAGTACTCTGAAAAAAAAAAAATAAAATAAAAAGTTATAATTTTCTTGTATTGGTTGTGGCAGGAGGCCAGGAGGTTTCTGATTAGGTCTACTTGAGTCTCTTGCCATCAAGTGAGGGTTACTACTGAAATCTTTTGAAGGCATTTGAGTCTACATTTTTCATCTAAAGTCAATAGATAGATTGAGTTTTGTTCACTTGGTTAGGTGGTTTTGGGGATTGACAAAAAAGGCATTTTCTTGTTGGTTATTGAATTTCATGGATTTGTTTTCAGCTAGTTTGTATGTTAGAAGTGAATGAATTAACAGGGTGGAATGTTTCCATGATATTTGCGAAATGGCAAAGAGACCACTTGAATGTTAGGGGGCTCATCTTTGGACCCTAGTTCACAATTTTGTATAAAGCTGATTTTTGTGGATTTAAATAAATTCATTTTATAGGTGGGGCAAATGTCTATGTAGGTCTCACATATTGTGACCCCACATTTTGTTGCCTTTGTAGGTCTCACAGACTCACACGTGGTACAAATGTATATGCAAGCATATATCTTAGTAGGGTCAAAATATTTAAGCTACGATTGCAAGACTGATTTTTATAAATCTAATAAATTCGTTTTAAAGGTAGAGCCTACTTGTGAAATGTATCCATGACCCCACATTTTGATGCCTATATAGGTCCCACACGCGGTACAGATTTATGTCAATTTGGGCCAAAGTAATTAATAAAAATCTAAGCTTAGCATTTTATTTGCTACACTTATCTTTTTCCTGTCAAACAAAGAAGTGCAAAACTAAATCAGATTTGCATTCTCATGCATTTGCATTAATGAAATTATGAAAATTAGATTTTTCATCGAAACCAAATGCAGCCCAAGGTTTTAGCCAAGGCCAAAATGGGAACCCTTCTCAATCCCTACTCCATAGTCCAAGAAAGATATTATTCAAATCTTTTCTTGTTAGCCTGATTGAAACTCTTCCTTCGATTAAAGGCCAGTCCATACCTGAATTTACTGGTTCTACAAAAACCTGGGCCCGTTGAATGGACAAAAGCACACACTCAATCTATGTAGTTGACATTTCTCATATCGGGCAACCCATTATAATCCAGCCAGACCAAGTTGGTTTGGACCAACCAGCTGGTCCATCCTATCTCCACCCCTATAATCCAACTGTAGTGGACAGGCGTACGCTTGTTTTACCTGCAAATTTATATATTGAATACGATTTCAGAACTGCCTTTTGAAACCTTAAAATACTATTAGAAATTGTTTCAATAGCATAAAATTGTTGGGTGGTAATGAAATTCTGTACTCTAGATTCGAGTTAGGTGAGTTGGGTTATATTTTCTTGTATGTGAAGATCCAGACAAACTGGAACTCTACCTATGATTTTGGAGGATTTTTGGTTCTTCAGTTCTAACTGTATTTTTCAGAACTGGGGTTTAGTAAATGAAAGATAGAGGAAGTTTTGTCAAAGTTATGGTGGATTGGAATGGATTGATAAGGGATCAAAACTTTTCCAAGTGGATGGGGTGGCTTGTGAGTGCCATTTGGCCGATTCTAATAGTTTGTTGATAGGGTATGTATTCCAAAGGATGAGAGGGATGGATTTGGGAATAGCTGGAGTGCTGGACTGAAGAAGCAAGCCAGTTCTATGGTTTGGAGATGTATTTATTTTTGGGAAAATTATGATTAAAGCTGGCAGTGCATTTAAATTAATGCTGCAGGTTGGTTCAGAAACCAACAAAACTCTAACAGCCGGCTATACATTTCAAATTATAAAAACCCCCGCCATGTCATCAGAGACTTATGTGGTTGCCAACATGAGACTCTCAATCTATGTTGGACACAACAAAAAATTTAAACCAAAACCAAAACATCCATCTCTTGACCCCTCTTTCTCTCAATCTCCCGCTCCCTCTGTTTCTCCCACTCTCTCTATCTCTCATGCTCCCTCTGCCTCTTGATCTCCTACTCCCTTTGCCTCTCGATCTCTTGCTCCCTTTGTCTCTCTCGTTCCCTTTGCCTCTCGACCTCCCTTCCACTCAAGTTGGTGTAAGTTTCATAGCCAAGAGTTTCTTTTGAAATTTAATCAATTTGGGCTGAATGAATTAGAACCATACCAAGTTGGTCTTATGTTCTTTAATATGGTCTGGTTAATACAGTATAAGTGTGTAAGAAAAATAAAAAAAAGAACGAGAAAAGGAGCAAGAAAGAAACTGAGAAAGAACGATAGCGATTGAGGGAGAAGGAGAGATCAATTGAGAGAGAGAATGAGGGAGAAGGAGAGATCGACTGAGAGAGAAAATGAGGGAAAGGAGAGATTAAATGAGAAATAGAATGAGAGAGATTGAGGGAGAACAATAGGTTAACAGAGATGGAGAGAATGAGAGAGATTGAGCAAGGAGAGACAACTGTGAGAGTGAGATAGTGGGAGAGAGATTGAAAGACATAAGGAGTGGGTGAGAAAATGATTTTTTTTTTTTTTTTTTCAAATAATCCATGCTATGTCCAACATGGATTAAAAGTCCCATGTTGAAAATGACCACATAAGCCTCCGACGACATGGCGGGGGTTTTTATGGTTTCTCTTGGGTAATGTGACTGATTCATGCCTTTTGCTATCATGCTATGTTTAGTTAGGTGATACACCTATCCCTTTCATTGACAGTCCAATAATATCTGAAGCCATGTTAATATCTCAATATTTCAATGACAGAATTCTATGCTCAATCCTAACTTATAAATCAAGTTGCAATCTTAGGGGGCATTTTCAACATGAATGCTTTTGTTTTCATTTCTTTTTGGACAAAAAACAGCATGTTTTTGAGCTCTGTTTGTGTTGTCAAAGAGAAAACAAGTTGGTTTGTTTCAGAAAACAATACATATTTTTGAAACCAATAAAATATTTGTTTTTAAAACAAAAGCAAATTTTCTTGTATAGAAATTATATGATTTATGGAACATTCTGTTCAATAATTAGATGAAAACATGTTTTTGAAATTGGACTCAATAAGAACGTGCTTTTGATTTCAGTTTTGAAAACAAAACATACACAACCAAGAATATGTTTTTTGTGTTTTTGTTTTAAGGAACAATATATTTTCAAACAAATGGTTTTAATTTGTTTTTGGAACTGGCAACAAAAAAAAAAAAACAGTTCACATTATAAAACACCCCCTTAGATGCATCACTTTTTAAATATTTATATCTTTATACAAAATTTGATATGCTTAATTATTTTATAGGTTTACTGAAGTTAGAATGGATGATTGAGATGGTGGAGGAAACTGATCTAATAGAACGTGTAAGATAAGTCTCTCTCTCTCTCCAATAGTTTATTGAAGCTAACTAGCTATAATTTATTCAATGGCATCTATGCTTTTATATTTGTTTTACTCATTTAGGCTGTGTTTGGTTGCAGTGCAAATTTATTTGCACTAGTACAAATGCATGAGAGTGCAAATGTAAAAAAAATGCAAATTCTTGTTTAATTTTGTTTTGGATTTTACTTTATTCTGCCTCGTGTCTTAATTTACTTTATTTGTACTGAAATCAAACAAAATAAGTTAAAATTTGAAACAAAAATAGGTCAGAATTTACACTCAAATCATTTGCACTACCATGGTTTTGCATCAGTACAAATTTATTTGCATTGCAACCAAACACAGCCTAAGCACCATAAATTTTGCATCCCAAAATTTGATGCAAAATTTACACCACCTTAACACCATCTTCAATTGTCTTTGACATCACATCATGTTACTTCCTACTCGTTCCAAAACAAATAATCCTCCTCTTGGACCACACCATTTGACTTTCTATTTTAGTTACTTGTCACAAACAAATATAAGAGCAGACCAGTTGAATTTACACTCTCAGTCTATTTGCACTCCCATGTATTTACACCTGAATAAAGAAATATTGGAAGCCGTTATATATTGAGCCGTCGGGTGAAACAACTAATCAATTTATAAGGGAAATATCGTCTGAGCTAGTTTGCTACTCTACCGGCCTTTGATTTGGTTTGTGATGCCGACTGCTGAGACAGAGAGAGTCAACCCAAACAGCTGTCTTTATTACCTACTTCACTATTCTGCCTACCATGCATATATGATCCACAAAATGAGGAAACTAGATGTGTGTAGACGCTTAGAAAAGTTAAAGTGAAGATTACCATTCACCGTCAAAATGGGCGGTTTTCCGGTGAAGACTTTTGCTGTATTACTGGTTCTCTTCCTTCTTCTGATGAGCAGTACTACTTCAGCGAATCCCACCATATCTTTTCATGGTATTCCTCTTTTCCAATCGACTTCATCTCCATTCAAATGGTGTAACCATTTTATTAATTTGATGAATTGAGACTCTATGACTAAGCGTATTTTTTTGGTTTGGTTTGTTTGTGTGTTCTCTCTCTCTCTCTGAAGGTGATGAGAAAAGTCTATGGTGGTTATCTGCTTCTCTAGGCGAACGACCAAGAAAGGTTTAACCAGGCAACAAAGGTTGTATTCCAGATGGAAAAAGTAAAATAAAAACTGATGAGGAGAAAGAGAAATGGTCTCGAAACCTCCTAACACAAATATTGTCACCACCACCACTGCCATATAAAAATAAGCCATTGTCATATGCATATAGATTGGCACCTCCTCCACGCAGCTAATATATTGATGAGCGCTAGTCATTTCTTCTTGCTATTGCTCTACATTTAATTTACAAGTCTATATATGATTCTATGTCCAAAGCTGAAAAACAATCAACCGGTGTCATGCAATTTGTAATCAATCAACTGGTATTCATGATTCAAATTCACGTGAATTTCTGATTGTTGAAAGTGAGTTTTTTTAGGTATAATAGGTTTCTGATATCATAAAAATTGCTTTGATTTTGGACATCTACCAGTATTTTAGCGGTGCAGAGTGCAGTAGGTTGACTTAACAAATGAAAATTAAGTGAGTTTTCAGTACCATGGTGAGATTGAATCTCCTGCCATTTCTTTCTTTTTTTTTTTCCATACTCTTCTTCTTCGTCTTCTTCTGCTTTTCCTTCTTCTTCTTCTTCGGGTGGCACTATTGGTATGATGGTGTTGGGTGTCTTAATGTCATTGTCTCGTTCAAATACTTCAAAATCTGCTCCCCTTTGGTATAGGGTACAGTATACGAATCATCCAAATCCATACCAGGATTTTGTAGCCATGAAAAAGTGAATATGTAACACATGTTCGTCCTAAAGACAACTTGCAGATTGAATGACTCCAAGCATTGATTCTTCCAAGATAAACTTAATTTCATGGAAGAAGAGCTGGAGATATATTATCCCTGGGAAGAGTAAAATGAGTCTAGCTAGCTAGCTAGCAATACCTTCTACAATATGCCGGTCCATTTATCCAGAAATTCAGACGGTGCACTATACCTTGAGCTTGTATTAACAAGTCCTCCGGTCAATAGAGCCTCTTGAGTATCCCACCATTAGGAATAATCAGCAGCCTCCGTTTTTCCTTTCATCTTACATTTATAAGGATGTTGTAGTTGTGAGAACAATCACCTGAGAAAATAGACGCTGGTGAAACAAGGAGGTAGGGTTTAGGTAGCTCCGCTTTTCCTTTCATTATAGAAACTGTAACATTTGGAGCTTGAACGTCACCGGAGAGAACTCGAAAATCATCAGAAAAAGGCTTTCTAGGAACCATAACATTGTTATAAAACAAATGGATACCCATGGCAGACCCCAAAGGTATACCACACACAAATTCGACCAAGGCCCAACAGAAATAAGAAACAGAGTAGAGGGAAAACGAAGATTAGAATGAATAGAACCAAAGATCCCAAGTTTGCTCCATAGGCCTGGTTCAAAACCGTCTCTTAAATTTGTCCAAAGAACTTCTCCAACAAACACTGATAAGAAGAGAAATAAATGAAAACTCACATTCATAGATGTGAGAGAGAAACCCTCACATAGAGTGTGAGAGAAAAACTCACATCCATAGATGTGAAAGAAAAACCTTCCCACTGAGAGACTCTCACGTAGAAAGAAACCCTCCCACAAAGAGAGAAACCCTCTCACCATATAAGTAAGTTATGAAAGTTCAAACCATATATTAACCCATATATATATATATATAAGTATAATTAACCCATATATTATTTATAAAACTTGTGGTCACTGTTTGACTGGTGATCAAACCATTTGACCCATGACCCAACAAATATTTCCGTTTTGCTTTCTGGTTCGAGTATTGCTATAATATTTTTCATTATATTTTTATTTTCAGAAGAGAGAAAGAGAGAGATTGAGTTGGAGTTGAACTTTTTGGGTGGATATGAGAAACTTTGCTTGCCCCATGCAGACCATTAAACGCTTGTTTCATACTGCCCTGTGAATTGTTCAATGGATGTGCATTGTGACTGTTTCGGGGTTTGATAGTTCACTAATACTAGTCCAAGAAGGTGATATGAGAAGTTGAGATTGAAAATGCCCCACATTCTACCCCCATAGAATGTGCCCTCAAAATGCCCCACATGCACATTTTAGCATGCATTGAAAAACATTTTTAGACGCATTTTGTGGGGGACAGATTTGAACTCTTATTGATGATAATCATGACTCTGATTGATGATAATCATGGAACTAAAACTGACCAATCACTGCAGAGTCAACTCAACCGACCCTTTTGTTGGATTAGAGGTTGTTGGCCTAAAATTAAACAAAAAAAAAAAAGGTTGGCCGGTGACCTAATATTCTTGATATGCCTTGTCGTCCAAGACTGGATCACTCTCGACTTGCAAAGCAGCTTTAATTTTGACTAATATGGACGACCCATTTGTAGTAAGCTCTACCCATTAATAGATAAATTGTCTTCTTGCGTCTGAGATATATCCTGACATTTGTGGGTTATCAAGCTATATCTTCTTACGCGCGTGTTGTATATTTATTGAACCTGCAGGACCAAGATAACGGAAGACCCTGAGACCCTGCTGGTTTGCAGTGCAAATATAAACCAGATGCAAAATTTGCATCACCTCAATTTTTGCATCGACTTATTTGCAATTATGATTTGCATTATTATCTGATACATTACAAAATTTTTATTATTTTTTTTGTCTCGTATGTATTTATTCATATTGCAAATTTTGCATCTTAAAAGCTGATACAAATTTTACACCACCTTCATCGTCAATTCTCTCCCAGAGATGAAGTGGGTATCATATCTTCAATTCTCTTAGATGATTTGACTTCTAATATTACTTTTCACAAGTCAATTAATAAAGAAAAGTAAAATCTGAACCAAATTTTATACTCGGCAGTCGGCACGTCGGCTGAAACAATTTAAAACAGAAGTTTCGTCTGAGTTCGCTAATTGCCATTCTACCAACCATTCGTTATCTCATCACAACAGCTCGATCAGAGAGTCAACCTCAACAGCTGCCTCTACCTACTTCACTCTGCCTATCATTTATGGTCGCGCAAAATGAGAAAACCAGATATGCATAGAGAAGTAGTGACAAACTAGTCTTAGAAAACTGACTATTACCATTCACCCTCAAGATGGGCGGTTTTCCGGCGAAGACTTTTGCTGCAGTAATACTGGTTCTCTTCCTCCTTCTGAGCACTACTTCAACGAATTATCCTACGTTGTCTCTCCATGGTATTCCTCTTTTCCAATTGACTACTTTTCCATTCTAACCGTACCTCCGTAACCTTTAATTTTCACATGATGATGAGTTAAGACTCTATAAACCCAGATGCGTACGTGTAGAGGCTTAGAAAAGTGTAACTTATTTGTTATTGTATTCTCTCTTTGGAAGGTAATGAGAAAAGTCTGTCGTGGTTATTTGCTTCTCGAGGCCGAGGCGGACCAAGAAAGCTATTACCTGCAGGCAGAGAAGGTTGTATTATTCCAGAGGAAAGGGAAGGTAAATCAACCACCAGTCATGAGGAGAAAGAGAAATGGTCTCGAAACCTCAGACAAATCTTGAACCCGCCACCACCTCCATATAAAAATAAGCAATACTCATATTTTGTAGCACCTCCTCCGCAGATAATATAGGATATTATATGTATGAGCACTAGTCGTCATTTCTTCTCTTCTTCTTCTTCTTGTTGCTCTACTTACACCTTTTTTTTTACCGGTGTATTTACAGAAATGCATTTTCATAGTGATGAATTCTTGCCTAAGGCTATGTGAGAGTGTGATAGTATTTCCCTCTAAATTTCCGTAACCCCAATTCCCAACATAAAATTTCATCTGAAAGCCTATTAGTAAAAGAATTCCAAGATTTCAAGTTCTAGAATCTTGAGCTCGCTCTAAATTGGGTCTCTCGTAAGAAATTCCGGCAAGGTTCAAAGTATGGCATGTATTAATGTATAGTTACAAGTCTATAAGTTATTAGACAAAAATGTAATAATTAAAGGTGTATATATCTTACTGTTTTTTATGCTCAATAGTCAATACTCTTTTTTTTTTTTGTTTTGTGAATACATACATATGTAGAAGCAATTTTAAAATTAAAAGAAAAAACATAATACAAATTAGAGTTACAACATAGGATAACAACAAAAGACTCGCTATATCGTAATAATGTAAGGTAACTCGTCTAGCTGCACTATTGATTTATCTTAAACATATCCCCCGGCAAGCACAATGGGGCCTTGCAAACCTTTAGCTTGGAGGCAAGGATAGGGAACCGAGAAGAGGATAGTGGCTTTGTGAGGATGTCAACAATTTGATGATCTTTATTGGAGATGTAGTTTTCAAGCGACTGGTTCCACTCAGGGGTGTCAATTGGACTGGATTTAGTCCAATCCCATCCAGTCCAATGTGAGTCTATTATAAATAGATCAGGTCCAATCCAATCTACTGAATGTTTTGGACTGGTCCAATTTAATGTTTGGACGATTCAATCTGTTCAAATTCATTTTGATTTAGATTGGTTTCAACCCAAATCCGGTCCATTGATACATATATTCTTATCTTACATCAATGGACCAGATGTTGATTTAATCCAATCCAATCCAATCCAATATAAATTTGTTATGGGACGAACAGGGTCCAATCGAATCTAATAAATATTTTGGACCGGATTGGTCCAATCCAAATTGATTTTGGATTGGATGGGGTCCAATCCAAAATTGGTTTCATTGACACCCTTAATTAGTTCCACTACTGCACTGAATGGGTCCACTCATATAGGGATCAACTCATCCAATGGTTTGAAATGATAAGCTCAATGCTGTATCCATGAGGAAAAACAACCCTATAATGGTTCATTCATGGATTTTCTTTTTAAAATCAACTGATTAGAAATTTATTTTCTCTTTAAAATAACATTCTAGTTTTATACAAGACTGGTTTTAAATTATATTTAAATGGAATTAATTGAATTAATTATAAGATGGAGATAATTAATTAATTAAACTAATAGATTAATGTTATAAGTTGTGTTAAATAAGGTTGGTTATGGAGTCAAATTATGATAAATGGAGTGTTAAACAGAATCAATTTTATCGAGTTTAATGGGCTACTTAAGGTAGTTGAATTTGAATTTCCAATTTGAAAATGATAACAATAATATATAAGATATGTATATAATGATAATCAGGTGAGACGGGTTGGTGTGGACTTAATGGGTTTGGGAAATTGGGAGAAAAGATTAAACGTTTTTTGGGATCAAGGGTATCTAAACAGTTTAGAGAATAGAAAGGAAATTTTTTTTTCGTGGATCCCCATGTACCCATTGCCATCCCTACCACAAAATGGATCCACTCATAGGGATCAACTCATCCAATGATTCGAAATGATAAGCTCAATGCTGTATCCATGAAGAAAAAAAAAGTAGTTCTATAATCATTCATGGATTTTCTTTTTAAAAGCAACTGATCAGAAATTTTCATTGGGGCACAGTCATGATCATTGTTAGAGCACATTAGGGTTTATTTTTCTTGGTATTACAAATTACATGTTACAGGGGATTAAGGGGGTGGGGGTAGAGGAGGGTACATATTAGTTCATTTTCCTTAACACGGAAACCTGGAGATACATGGGTTTGGTCCTGTGCCTCCACATTCGAAGGGATATGCCTAGTGACCATTTCAAAAACATTAGGGTTTATAATTCATGTATTGCCAATGACTCGATTGTGTTGTTATATTATATACCTAACTCAATTCAACTTAGCCCTAAGCCCCTAATCTCAACTATTTTGGGTTATGTGTTCTATTCAAATTATATTTAAGTTTTTAAAATCATATTACCATTCATTAATAACTGTATTTTCTCTTTTTCATGGGGTGTTTTACAATTCTATAATACGAATGTTTTTATTTTCATTTATTTTTGAAATTGCCACATCTGCAAAAAAAAAAAAAAGTGTTCTTGAACTATGTTTTTGTTTCAAAAAGCATGATTCTGATAAACTTTACAGTATAGAAATTATATGATTTATTTATAGAATGTGATATTAAGGGGGCGTTCTCAATGTGAATGGTTTTGTTCTCCAAAAGAAAAAACAACTGCCATAGCACAAAAAAAAGTATACATTTTTGCTGATGTGGTTCTTTTTGTTTTAGAAAACAGAGCCCATTCAAACCGTCAACTTGCTTAGGAATTCAAAATGGTTTTGGTTTCAATTTTGGAAACAACAAACGCATAATCAAGAACATGTTTTCTGTGATTTTATTTTAAGAATTAATTTGTTTTAAAACCAGTTGGTTTTCTTTTGTTTTATTTTATGAAACTGGCAACAGGAAAAACCATGGTTTTTAAAACTGACCCGGTGACTGAACCGGTCAGGGGTCCGGTTACCGGTTCAAATGGTCCAACCATTCGACCCAAACGGTTGGTCCGTTCTGACAAAAAAATAAAAAAGGTTAAAACCGTTTGAACAATTAACCAGCCGATTCAGCGGTTTACTGATCAAAATCAACGGTTTTAGAGGAAAATGAAACCGATCAAGTGACCGATTCAGCAGTTTACTGATCAAAATCAACAGTTTTAGAGAAAAATGGAACCGATCAAAATCCGACCGTCCGGTCCGGTCTAGTCCGATTTTGAAAACCATAGGAAAAACAGTTCACATTGGAGAACATCTCCTAAGTAAGCAAGTTGAGAAGGCTGATTTTCTACATTCTGCGTGTGCATCAATATTAGTCTTCAGTCTTCACGTGTCATCAAGTGGCGACTTCTCATGTGATGGACAATGTTTATTATCCTACAAGATGGTTTTGGTTAGGTGTATTGTAATTGAGTAAGGGTGATCATTTTCTGTCCGGCCCACCATGCAAATTTTCAGGCTTGGGCCTGAGTTTTGTGCTCAAGCCTAATCTGGGCCCAGTATTACAGACCTGGATATATTGGTTATGGTACGAGTTCAAGATGACTAGGTTAACTTCTTAAGACTTCAGAAATTTCTTTGGTCTTTTTCGTGGTTTGGAAAGCACAATTATTTCAAATATTATTAAGATATACTATATTTTCTCTGTTGTCTTTTGAGTTTCTATTTCTTCTCATCCTTTGTATCCATGGAGTGATCTCTTTGTTTACTCTTGGCTCAATTTGCTGATTTTCTACCAATTGCCAAACTAGCCCAAGTTGCCCAACTGCTATACATTCCACGAAGATGTGATTATCTTTCTCATTTTGCTCATAACAGAGTGAGCACGTTGGATCATTATTCCATCCTCTCCAGTCTGTCTCTTGTGAGAGAATTCTTGATATTAACAGCCATATAATTAAATATTTTGATTTTAGGCTGGAGGCTGAGGATAATTCATCAGCCACTTTCATTCTTCTTTTTTTTTCTTACGTCTAGCATATAGCTTGGACCCAAACTGATGTCAAAACCCAGATTTAACAATCCAAACCTAATCAAATTTTCATTTAACTCCAAGCGTTAATTGCATGTCTTTTTTTTTTTTTTTTGATATAGTCCCATAATAATAGGTCTACTTGCATATCATGACTTTGCCACATGGCAATAAGTTTGGACCAAACTGCTCTCATAGTAGCCAAAAGAGTTAACTATATATATCTGTGCCACTGTACACTTCCAAAAGAAAGTTAAAGAGTTAAAATGTACCAAAGGGAAAGTGAAACACATGGTGGGATGTACAGACTGGTGTGAGAAGTACACCTTACACATGGCCGTTCTGGTTGGTCTCTCACAACAGTCTGATCAGGTGGGCATGAGACCCCCCCTCCCTCTATGCATTCCACAATTCACACAGCCTCTCGTGACAGAACTAAGTACCTTTCAAGGAAAATTTTATCTCCCCATCTCCTGAACCAATCTTCATAGCTCCTCTCTTTAGGTTCATAGCTCCACTTTAGGTCCCTAAAGTTTTTACCTCTTAGGCTCTTACTTTGTGTCATTACTTGTTAGCAAGTACACACAAGAGCTTAGCTAGCCCTCTCAAGTGCCTTAAAAGGAAATACCGATATCAAACCAAGAAGCTTTATGCTTGTCCAATGAAAGATTCTCTCCCTAAAGCCATTTTATTCCCCTATCAAACTACAGGAGCAATAGCTATTTGATAAATGTATGTCCAAGGAGGAATCTTTACCTCAACTATGGAGTTCACATCTGTGCCCCACAATGTATTGAAAACATCTCCCAATGATAATACTAGACCGGATGATGTATCATCAGGAGATATTTCCAATACAAGGCGGGGATGCGCTGTGAAACGTTGTGGGGCACAGATGTGAACTATCAACTATGAACTATCAAAGGGATCAAAGGGTCTCTTCCTCTTCAACAAGAGATACTATTCTTCATTGAGGGACTCAAGAAAATTAGAGAAGTAGCACCAAGATTTAATTAAATTAAAGAAGGGGGAAAGGAGGGTGACAAATTTGTCCTTATAGAAACATTTGGATGTTGATGGATTGATTGGCTTTACTAGGTTTGACTCAAAGAATAATTATGATTATACACTCTCTAGTCTCTACTAATGGGTTATAAGAAATTCATCTCCTCCTCTCCTTGGGGAACCTAGAAGGCTATACAACCTATGAAATAATCATTTTTATATAGCAAGGAATTGCTAAAAATCATGGTGACTTTTGGGGTTGCACCCCCACCAAACAGCCTAGTGAATCAATAAAGTTTGCTATATTTGGCGTTTCCATGTTCTTTCCATATTGTTTCCTTCCTCCCCCCTAAGAGATACCCTTGCAATTATTGTCTTGCCCTGTCATGTCATCCATGGCCACTGTGAGTGCATGAAGAGCCTCTAAAGCAGATTCCTATCCACTCACAATTTAAAAACTATCTTCGGTATTTGATCAATTCCCAACCACTCCCCAATTTAAAATGAAAATTTCAGTGATCACTCGTGCAATCACAGTGGTAAATGGAAGCTTTTTGGTTAGCATATTTGCTGGAAATTAGCTATATATATATATATATATATCTAGCTCTGATTTTACCCAACAAAGAGATAAGGCTTCATCTTAATTTGCTCCTCAAGACATGTTAAATAGTTGGTATAATTCTGATATATCCAAAGTCACTGGACTTAAGCATTGGATTATATTTCAGTGCATTGTAAACATGGGTTCTAGCTTCTAAGTTCTGGGACTCAAACATGAATATTGGACCGATGGGTCGAGTTATATTTGACCAAACTTGAAAGAAAAATGGCGGGAGGGAGACCGGGATTGTTCAGTAAAGCCAATCATAGATGGTCAATGCACGCATGTGCATCGCTGGATAGATAGATGCTTTGCATCAATCATGGATGAAATGTAGGGGAGACACAGTGACAAACCCATCCAAACATACTTATTTTTTTGGGTACTGTTTTCGGTTGGACAGGCCGTGATCAAGCTACTTAATCCACTCAATCTCCAGATTCCAACACAACGATCTTTTAATTAGTTGCAGGAACAGTTGGAGCTTTTATTCTTTATTATATACTTGCGCATGGTAGTTATCGAATCAGTGTGGAACTGTGGATGCATGTCAAATTGGAACGGGCCCTCTATGGCCTGGTTTGTTTGCCGAGTATTGTGCAAGGGTAAGTTGGTTAATCGAATAATTGATGATGATTCCTATATTATTCATATGTCATCCTCTTGAAGGGTGGGTAAGTTGTTTATTCACCCGGCCGATTACACTAATCCCTCCTGTGAAACACTTGCCTGAATACACTCATGTACCCAGATAAGTGAAAACGAACGAAACCTATATATCAGAATCGTTATGGTTCAACCAATGGGTCAACCAAGGCCATTTTCTTGGCAGGTTCGGATAACCCTGATTACCTGTCAGGAGAAAGAGAGCATAAAAAGAAAATCATGTTGACATTGGAACAAACGGCAAGGTGCCTCTAAATGTCTAAACCCTACTTTAAACCTTTGATGCCCTAAACTAATCCGCCCTAGAATAAATATTATTTTATCATCTTCTTCCGACAATTCCCAAATTTTATGCTAAATCCACATTGGGTCTGAGAAGCTTCAAATCCAAATATTCCTTCTTCAGGGTTTCCCAAAACCAGTGGCTCACCAGATCACTATAAAAAAACAAAGGAAAAAAAAAAAGAAGGGGGTATCATGGCATTTGAAAGAGAAAATGACTCTGTTGCTAGATGCCCAGCTGCTGATCTGATCAGGGGCCTCACACCCCTCATATGAGGAGCCCCTTGTAATTAAAATGGGTGACCCCCTTTTCTCGTGTTGTTTGCAGATGAACAACATGCCTGTGCTTCTCAATAGCACCAAATTTTGGGTTTGATGGTGATCTGTCAGATATTAAATATGCAGGGCCCACCACCATTAGACATCAACTATCAGAACTGGTACCTCATTTCAGGCGGGGGGGGGGGGGTGAAAGGATAAGGGGACCCACATGGCCACATCTAACAAACGCCACCGTTATCATGGCCAGTGAAGCTCAGTTAACTTTAATCACTTGGAAAGGGAAATCTGAGGCCATACATCATGGGCAATGTAGATACGATGTACAGAAACAATACATGAAAGGGGTGGCCCTGGTCAGTTGTTGCCACGTCACCCAATTAAGTCTCCCATGCAAAAAGAGTCAACGGTCGGATTGGGATCCCATGGATACCCCTTTTTGTAGGACTTGGCAATTGGCATGAAGGGCCGAGAACTAAAATGGGTCTGGGCTTTAATATTATGGTCTATTAAATGAGTGATCAGGTTGACTTGGAATACCAAATGAAAGGATAAGATTGGCCCCACACAAGAAACCATGCTCTGCTGTCTGATGACTTCTGGCTGGGGCCCGCTGGGGCATAACAATTTTGGCCATGAATTGAAGGGCTTTTGGTGAGAGGCCTGGATCTACTAAGATGATAATGGGCCAGACAGGGTGTGGCTCGGCCCGACCTTGACAAATCACAACCCCAAGTGGTGTACTGGCATTCCTTAGTCATTTAATGTAGAAAAAATACTACAAAGTAGAGAAGCAATGAGAAGCAATGAGAAGCAAAGTAATAAATGAAATGTTCCACACCTCATCCTTCTCATCACTTTCTCTCAGGTCTCAATCTTTCCTCTTTCAAACATGGGGATGCGCGTGACAAACGGTTCACTCTTAATTATTTCTCAATTAAATGGATCACGATTTTCGCCTCCAAAAAGTCCTTCCCCCATTTCCTCATCTTCATTTTTATACCCCATTTTTTTTTGTTTTTTTTACATACATACAGCATACTTCTCTTCAAAATGACCCTTTTGCCCTTCTATGATTCATACCATTACTACTACTAACTACTAAGATAATCTAGACAGGGTCAAAGGTGTAAAATGAGAGCCAAAGGCAAGCCAAGCAGAGAACCCACAAAGTACAACCTATAGAGATTTAAAAAGATCCAATTGTTTGATACTGACAGCAAATTGGGGGTTGTATTTAGCAACAAAAACCCTTAAAAAATGGTTAAAGTGAAGTAATATAAAAAAATAGACACCTAAAAGTACTATAATATTCAATAAAGGCTATTGAATAACATTGAATTCTCCAAACCTGCAATTAAATAGACACATGAACGACCCCACCAGACCCTCTTCCTACTTCCATCTTCCCCCCCCCCCCCACCACACTAGTCTCCTCTCTCCTCTCCCTTTAAAATCCCCTCCCATAACTCCTCAGACATCCATTAATGCCAAACAAGGGGAGCTCATTCACAAATTCAAAACTGTTGTTCAAATCTCACTTCTCAACAGGGTGATAGACAGGTCTGCGTAGACTGTGGAAAGATTCAATGAGCAAGAAGATAATGAAGCTTCCTTCTCTGTTCAAGGGCAAAGACACAAAGGCTTCATGGCAATGGCCCTCCTGCAAGCACCCCAAGACCCTCTCATTCCGGGCCGGTGACGACATGTTCAAGACCATCAACTCGGTTTTCTTTGACCCCACTGATATGAACACTGCAGCAGAGTCATGGTTTACCAACTCATCGGAGTCGGGGAGCTTCTCTACGGTGTCGGAGGACTCCGGAGGTGAGTCACTGGAGATGGTCATCCGTGGGTTGCGATCCGAGAGGCTGTTCTTTGAGCCCGGCGAGACCAATTCGATCCTGGAGGAAGCCAAGGCCGGTGAGTTCCCATTCAAGGAGAGTGTGGTGTTGGCGATGGAGTCACAGGACCCATACGTGGACTTCCGGACATCAATGGAGGAGATGGTGGAAGCTCATGGCCTGAAGGACTGGGAGTGTCTGGAGGAGTTGTTGGGATGGTATCTGAGGGTGAATGGGAAGAAGACCCACGGTTTCATAGTTGGGGCGTTTGTTGATTTGCTTATTAGCCTTTCTTCATCTCCATCTTCATCTTCTGCTTCCTTGTCTTCACTAATAGGAGAGGAGGAGGAGGAGGGGACTCAGGAGGAAAGAAATAGTTCTTCCTTAACAGAGGAAGACAATATTAATGTTTCCTGCCTTAGAGACTTGTTGGCTATATCTTGATCTCTTTCAGTCCATTGTATTATTCTTTCTTTTGTAATCTGTATAATACATAGTAAGCTTAGAAGAATGAATTGAGAAATTATTTAACATCAATTATCATACATCAGTTCTTGCTCTCTCTCTCTCTCTCTCTCTCTCTCCCTCCAGACATGCATCTGTGATCTGTCTGCAAGCTTGTCTGAAAGCCCAATTAACCATGACAGGCGTGTACGTGAAATCAGTCATTGTAATTGAGAAATATTTTTGCTTAAATTAGACTCTGTAAATCGGAGGATTGAAGACGACGTTGTGATTTTTTGATGGTCTGTGGTCCAGTATTTCTGTGTATGTATGCCTAGTTCTTTGGGTTATTGGTGTTTGAGTCATTTTCTAATAATCCTCATACACTTATATATAGAGATAACTCTATATGTAGATACTACTTTTCTAGTTAGTTGTGTATAATTATACATACATAAATGCAACTGAACTGAACTGGGGGATCCACCAGTAGATAGGTCCCACTTAAATTATCTGCTACATCAGATATCAATCCCAGCAGATGATCGTAGCCATTAATTGGTGTACCATAGAAGATGGGTATATATTGGAAGGTCTCCATCATTTGTTCTATCTGAAGTATAAAGAAGCAAAGTGTGCCATCCCTGGCAAGAACAGGAATCTAGCAACACCAAGGAAAAGCAATTCCTTCTTTTTGATTTCATGGAGAAAATGGTTGGAGACGCTTTTTTCTTCTGTTGGGCAGTTGAAACATTTAAAGCAGCTAAACCTTTTGAACTAAATTGGTTGAGATTTTTAAGATGAGAGCTTATGTATGATTTCAAAATTCAGTTTCCCTCGTAAAGTTGCTGAGCTTGCTTAAATGTTAAAGCATATAAATCAAATCAAAGACTAATATGGTTTAGCCAAACAGAGAATTTAGGTGTGAAGCTGGGCTATGGCTTGTTTGTGCAGCGGTGGAATCAAACAAACCACAGGATGCGAAAATAGGATTGGCAAGTAAAGAAAAATAGGGAAAAAAAATGCAAAACAGAGCAACTCAAGAACATACCAAGATTGACATGGTTTAGCTTATAGCCTATGTCCACAGGTGTTAGAGGAGAAGAAATTTGCCATAGAATAGTAGAGATTACAGTCATATGTTCACAACTTCTCACCATGAAACCCTTCTTTTTCTTTGGTAGAAATTCGATGAATAGATTCGAGAAGAGGGGACTTTTCACTCTCTCCTTTGGGAGGTCTGGATGTCCCAAAACCTTTCTTCCCAATACACCCTACCCTCTCCCACTCACTGTGTCTCACACACTCTCGCATTCTCTTTTTTATTAAAGTCCTTAGTTGCATGGTTTTCAAATCTGGACCGGACCGGATGGTTGGACCAGAAAAACCAGGAACCAATGGTCAGGTGACCAGTTCCGTTTTCCCCAAAAATCGGATTATCCCAAAAACCGTTGATTTTGGTCAGCGAACCACTGAATTGGGCGGTTAACTGTTCGAACGGTCAGACCATTTGACCCGATAACCGGACCCCTGACCAATTCGGTCACCAGGTCAGTTTTAAAAACCATGCTCATTTGGGTCGGATCGGATGCGAGTCCATTTCACTTCCACCATAGACCATTATGAAATTTTCCCTTCAAATTTTTCTCGAAATATAATTTGACGGGTCAAGGAGAAATCACAAGTGGAATTCAAGGCACCTCCACAAACACAACATAGTCCAAAAGAGTTCTACTTTCTAGCCAAATTATCATTCCCCCTAGAAAATTTCAGGTTGAGGGTAATATTGTTGTTACTGTTAGTATCTGGTTAGGCTTCTTGATTCTTCTTCAGTCCTACTTATTTCGCGGCCAGCAAAATAGGTCAGAAGTCCTATCTTGCATAGTAGTATAATTGTTTTATGTATATAAATTTTCTACAGTTATTGAAGCAGTCCCTACTAAGCTTTGGATTCATGGAAAAATATTTGCCCAAAAACCTTTCCATCTGCTCTAGATTAGCACTTTTTTATGGGCAACTTTTAAGTTACGAAAATAAGGCTGATGTGGATTGTGGGAATCAGCACATGGCCAATACAGAGGGTCCCTATCAGATAAAAAGTCTGGACTGGCTACATGTAGCAAAAATAGTGCAAATTGTGTGGCGCTGAAATAAGTCATAAATCTAGTAGAAATTAATACTTGATAGGTCATGTCTGAGCTTTGAAGCCTGAACACATACACAAACACAATGCACCCCAACATTCAACAAGAAAAGCCTATTTTTACCCATCCAAACACAGACCATAATATGCAGAAATAAGAAATCTATCACTTCTATTACCCCTTCTCACATCTAATTGACCATCAGCCCTCAGTAGCCATTGCAGCCATTCGCCGCACAACCGGAACATTTGATCATTTATATTAAGTATAAGAGATGTTCTCAATGTGTAGCTTGATGAATGTGACCAACAATGTGTTGTGATCAACAGATCCAAACTCTTCCATCGGGTGTTCTTGCAATGTGAGATAGAATTTGAAACACTTAGACAATGTATTAGCCACAAAGAAAAAAAATTTGATGGAATAAGCGGGGACTTGTAAGGATGGGATGGCACAGCTAAGCCAACCCATTGCCTATCTATGAAGGGAAACTTTTTCCATGTGCTTATCACATGCCATCAAATGATACGCTGGCTGTGTACTGCTCTGAGATCTTTCATGACTGGAGAAGAACCCTTCGGAAGTGCAATTCCCATGGAGGAAGTGATACCTTGGGATCAATGGGGGGAGAGTTTTAGTAAATATTACACGCTTTCTGTCACACCCATCATCCCCACATTTGGGACCATCACCCCATTTTGTCTAGATATAGGCCTCATACATCCCAATCATGGTTCTTAGATGATCACAGTTTCAAAGTTTTGTTAGCCCCACAGGAGACAATGTTTGGATAATTTCATCATATTTTACAAAATTACATGTCCTTTATTATGCAATTGGGACCATGCGTGAGAGAGTATTGGTCTGGCTGATGTGGACTGGATGATTGAACACGTGGACAATTCAAAGTGGCATGCATCCATTGGATAGTTCCGATTTGCTACGTTATCCCTCCATGTGGCAGAATTATTGGGATGGGTCATGGTGGGAAGAAGAATCCTTATTACCATCTGGAAATTCTTTTAATTTCAAGATAATTTTATTCATTTAGATCTCTTTGATCATATAATAATGCCTGGTAAGAATGTTGTTTAATAATAGATAAAGGTTTCAACAATTTTTATTTTACTGTAAATTGATTATATATACAAAAAAAAAAAGATTATAGATATTTTTTTGAAGTTGCCATTTTTAGCCATGGGGTTATTGGGATAGGTCATGCAGGGATGAACCCTAATAACCCATCTCTGAAAACTCTTTTTCTATAGCTAATTTTATCAAAATCAGGGGAACCATTCAGACCCTTGATCATATAACCTCTGATAACTGTATGTTAATTAATTATAAACAAAATTTTTATAGGTTGCTATGACTTTTAGATATAGATCTCTTGTTCTTGAATTGGGGTTTGAGGGTTTGAGCACTAACGGATGGGCCCTATATTGGAGATCATTCACACTGAAAATAACCACTTGATGACCTCAACTATGTGCTATCGTTTTGTCTCTTTGTTAGAACAAATGGAAAAAAAAAATGATTCAGCAACACTTGAAAAAAGTTGTACACAAAGAGATGCAGAATAGCTGGTTGAAATTGATAGCAAGTCATACTCATACATGGCCTAGATAAGTGATATCCTAGGGACGTATGAAAGGAATTAGAGATACATGATTAAAAAGATTGATTTTAAACCAAAGAAAAAACAATTATTGAAGGTCAACCTTTCGATTATTTGTTGGAAAAATAGAAATTAATAGGTATTGCCACCCCATTATATTGCTGAAAATATAATTTGTGGCGGAGATCCAACATTTGAGATAGGAATGGTTCATTCAGTGGCAGGAGGCAGCAGGTATCTCTGCATGAATCCAACTCTTACGTTTAAATTGGTACTGGACTGAGTTCTGATTTGACAAGTAACCAACGATCTCCTTGGAAATAGAAAGCCATGTGCCTTGTCTCACCAGGATTGATACGTCGCTTGCCAATACCAGCCATCATCAATAATACAAACAGAACCCTAATTAATAAATAAAACAAGTAGAAATTAGTTGGCAATGGTGGCATTCTGATAATTCATGGCTCATGGCTTCCATTAATGTCTGAAGGGATTTTTTTTTTTTTTGAGTAAACCCCATTTTGCATAGATGGGGCTTGTCTTAGCTATTAGTACAAAAGCACTATTTCAAGAATTAATTCTACATTTTCAGTGTTATTAGCAGGGGAATCTTTTGCGCGCCCTCTTAAAATAAACCATGCTCGTTAGTCTTTTCTTTATTTTGTTTAATTTCTTTTCTTTTTCCCTTTGGGGAGATTGGTTTGAGAAAAACCCATTTTGTATAGAGGGGCTTGATCATCAAAATGGGATTTGCCTTGTTTAATTTTCTTTTATTAGCAAATACATATGATTTTCTCATTTTTTTAGGTTTTTAGTGAGACATTATTAAGAAAAAAAGTTCTTAGCAATTATTTTCACCTAAATATTTTAATTTACATGTTAGCTAATAGCAACATAATCATGGTTCATTAGCTTGACTTAACAGTTGGATCAGTGATCCCAGATTTCTTGTTCCCTTGTATGATTTGATGAATGGGGTGCGGCCCTTAACATCCCTTACCACCATTTGATGAATGGGGTCTCTCTCTCTCTCTCTCTCTCCTGAAAACGGTTGTATATTATATAAAGCTAAAATTAATATAATAACCTCTGTGTCAACGCTCATCGTTAACAGCTCGCAGCTCGTCTTCTTCCGGGCTTCAATATCAGAGCAGGATTTGTGTTATTGTGTATTGGTGATGAAGCTTCTAAACCTTGTGCCATTGCACTTTTATGCTACTTTAAGCTAGCCTCACGTTGGGCAATGCAGCAAAACCTAATTTATTATTACGTGGGTTTACAAATTAATTAACTGTTTGATTAATTATACCCATAATTGCGTCATTTAAGGTTCTTATTTGTTTGTTTCTTCTTTTA